ACAGATCCTGAATTTACCGCCCTTTTGATATACAAATAAGTAACTACAAAAAATATTAAAATACTATATAGGGGAATAAACTAAAATTCTATAAGTATTTTTAAAGAAAAGTTTCTATTTCGTTCATTTTAAAATTTATTATTAATATCACTTGTTTTTTGCTTCCAAAGTCATCGGCGACATTATAAAGGTCTACTTACTTAATTGCTCCATTTGCTGTAATGTAGACAGTGTAGAAAATTTCTTAAATTCAACATAAACATTTATTGTTCATAACTGCTCCTTAATGATTTTTATTTTGAAAACTCTTTTTAAAGCTAGCAGTACTTACCGCAGTTGTGAGGAAAGCTCTCAAAAGTATTACAATATTTGGAACTTTATCTTGGAGACTGTATTTTAGAACAAACTGCAAAAAATAGAAAGGGCCTCCCTTCCACGTTTTTATTTCCTTTTCTCTAACAAGAGCGAAAATAAAATTTAAAAATAATATTTCTCTCTTAACAAAGAATTCTGCCTAATTCTGCCGAATGTCCCTGTGATCATAACTTAGTTGATATTCATAATTTTCAATCAAACGTTTCCCGTAATGAAAAAGGCATAATAGGATTATGTAGCTGTAGAAATATAGTGGTGATTTTATTCAATACTTTATGTAGAGTAAAAACAATTTTTCCCAATCTATTTCCATATTTAATTCCGTGAATTCCATCATTATTTACGCACCTCAAGGATCCACATGACTCCCCATATAAAATAACGTTTTGCACAAAATATGCCGCCCCCAAAAATGTGCCGCCTGCTTCGCCTACCTCTAGTTATGCCACTGACATCTAGGCGTCTTTCTCTCATTCAGGAAAATTCTTTACTCATTTGTTAGACATATAAATGCGGTCGAAGCTATTCGCACCAGGGGTGCGATTAACCTCTTCAGGTTATTCGCACCAACATTAACACGCATGCACACTGAGTTATCGGATCCGTCATTTGAATTAAATCTTCGAAACTGTTGAACGGTGTAACACCTGGGTGCCTGGGCAACGAGGCCCTACCCCTAATCGAATTATAAGTTTCCTAATTTATACTTCACATTAACTGGGTAATGAAGTTATATATTTGACGCTTAAAGATTTTGATTTTTTTAGAACTGTTTAGCCGTGCCTTTCGAGCTAGGTGGAAGAGCCTGGAATAAAAGTGGTTAACACATTGGTAAGTAGGAACAGTCTTAGGGCTGCTAGTAAAGAATTAAGATGCAATAGGAGCAAGTTGGCACATTGAGATAATTCACAGTAATACGACAATTAAATGCAAGAATATACATAAATATACAATAAGCAATAACTATTAATTCAATACAGAAGAACCAATAAAAACAGATTACATGTTATATATATTCAGGATAGCCATAAGTCTGTTTAAATTGGACAGGTCATTATAATCACAGTCACAGATTTTGACGGCTGCATTGTTGTTTTAAGCCTGGCTTTCATGAAATTTCTTGGTAACGTTGTAGTAGTGAGTTCTAAGTAATGCGACGTTAAGTTGTTCGTGGATGCAACTATTGCGTAAGTACCAAGGAGAATTTGTAATTTGGCGGAGAACACTGTGCCGCTTGTAATCTTTTTCTATTTGATTTACAGGCATAAGAACAGACCGGACATGCATAGCAAAGTAATAGGCGTAGAACGGATGTTAGGTAAGGATAAAACACTGTTTCAAGCAATTAGGGGGAAGAGTTGAGCTTTACGCACTCGAAAGTTGTTTATAATTATTCTGAATGTATTCTGAATCGAAAAGAAGGAATTCTAAGTGCCAAAGTCTGTTGTAGGGAGTCTTTTTATTTATTTATTTATTTATTTTAAGATTAGGGGAACCAGTAGAACTTTTTTAAAAAGACTAGGACTCTTTTTTAATAAGATGACTGTTTATGAATATGTCCTTTTTTACATTCAAAGGAAACATAATTGTACAGTAACGTTTCACGATGTTTATAACCTTCGTGAAATTTTTTCGATCGCGTTTTAATCAAAACAGCGAAATTTTGATTTTCATACAGTTCTTTTGCCCTTTCAAATTCAAAATATATTGAAAACTTGTTTCCACACTCAAAAAGCGAGAAATTTGTTTTTTTCACATCCATCGCCCTCAAGTTATGTCAAACAAATAGCACGTAAATTTCATTAACAATAACTAAAAATTAATTAACAAAGAAATCGCATACAAGGAAGATAAGCAGAAACTGTTAACAACCCTCGTTATCTCTCAGTTAGGATTAACAACTCCTGCTACTGCCTGCCTTGTGGCAAATCACCATAAAATGCTTGTACCTGGGCTGATAATGCGCATGCGCCAACGTAGGTGGGGCAATTAACTTCCGCAGTGGCTAATCGCACCGACGGTGCGAATAGCTCACCACCTACGTTCGCGCATACTCACAAAGCCCAGGTCCCAGCATTTTACGCCGATTTCCGTAAGGCAAGCGGTAGCGAAAGCAAAGGTTGTTAATTCTAACTCAGCAATAGAAAGGGTGGTAACAACCCTTTCTATTGCTGAGTTAGGGTCTTAACTATTAAATAGTTCACCAGCAAGAGAATAATTTTCAAGTAATAATTATCAGTTACAAAGACGAGGTGAATCTATAATCACGATAATGTTCAGGAAAGGATTAGATAAAATAGGGATTTAATGATGGGTCCAATTGCAAGCGAGGACATATAATTAGTTAAATAACCTTTAATGTATTGACAAAAAGGCTACAGAACTTACTTAAATACTTTTATTTAACAGAGGAATTTTTATGCAAACTTAGACCCTAGTCTTATAGCATAGGACTGTCAGAATTTATTATTCAATAAGAAAACTTACTGAAAATTATAATGTTCTTATATATTCATCACTTTTTCAGTATCCACACATTTTTATAGGTTCAAATGCCATATTTAGAAATCAGTGTTATTTATGAAATAAAATCTGATAAATCATTTATGTGTGCAAATTTTTAAATCTAAATCTCTTACATCTCTTCTGTCTTTTAAATTGCATCCCATTATTTATTCAAATTTAATTTATTAATGTGTTTGTACTAATATTTCAAAGTTCTTTGAAATACTTTGTGTTCTGAAAATGCCAAGTATTTCCATAAAAAATAAACAGGCATATAAAATTCTTAATATCCAGTGTTATATTATTAATTGTTCATTTAATAGTTGATTTAATAGCTTTTAACTTATTTCATGTCTAAATTTTTTACACAGAAATCCTCTGTCTAATTTTTATTATCTTTTATCAGACGAAAATTTTCAAAGAATATATTAAAGTCTAGATTGTGCGAAACACATCTTTGAAGCTAAATGTATTCTAAGAAGAACAAAAACTGTAAACGAGATTTTATCCCCTCCCAAATCAGTCATTTAAACTATTCCAACCGTTCAGGAAAACGATAACCATTGCGAACATAAAAATATGCCCTTTTTATATATACTTTAATAAAATGAAATGCGTTCCTTCTTTTTATATATGTATAAGAAAAGGAACCCATTTTCCTTTCTAATCTTTTGAAAGTCGCCAACACTTACAAAATGATAAACTACGCCAGAATGGTAACCTGCCTTTAAAAAAAAAAAAGATTCTCTACAACACTTAGGCAGTTCGCGTAAGTAGAATCCGTTCTTTTCGATTGGGTTCAAATGACAGATCCGACAATTCAATGCGCATGCGTGCTTAATGTTGGTGCGAATAGCTCAAATGGCTGATCGCACCGCTGGTGTGAATAGCATCGGCCATTAGCTTCAGAGAAGCTATTCGGACCGTCGGTACGATTAGCCACTGCGTATAAATGCTCTCTTTATTCGATGCATTCTACTACCTCACAGTTTATACAGTCCTTTTAATATTGCAGAAAGCAATATTAATCGAACCAATTTGATTTGATCCTTAAAGAAATCTTCAACGGGGGAACTTCGGCGAGTTTCATTTAAAATATCCATTCCATTAATATGTTACTTCACGTGTGCTGAAGTTGTCAATAGTTGGCTGTGTTTGTGTCGTATCTGGTAATTTAGTATGTAGTGTGTATTTATACCTAGATTTTCAGTTTTGCATTTTGAATCCTTTTATGATTGAATATTATTTTAAAAAAATTTCTGATGCCCTTAAGATTCGCACTGCTTTTACATGTGCAACTTCATTTTTGTTTACATGCTCACCAGTTCGATAGCTCGCCTTACATGTTTCGTTCGTAAGAAAAGTGCTATATTAACGCGGTATTTTTATCCTTAGAGCTTCTGTCATTTCTCAGCATTTAGAAGCATCTGTGGTACTTCGCAGTTAAATTCAAAAGTAACTAGTATTTACTTGATGGAGGTAGGTCGCTACAGACCAGGTACTGCGGTGTTTATACCACTCTAACAAGCCTTTACAATTTGGTTGGATCAAAAATTATTATGGCATTATTATACTGATATACAGTTACCGACTATGAACATTAATTTATTATATGGCTTTATGTTTGCATTATATAATACCTTTGGAAGCATTATAATAAATTCCTATTATGAACTAGACAAAATTAACATTTTGATCAAACTACAGGATGGCTCAGAAATCTCGAAAAAATGGCACTGTTCCGTTAAAAATGGCAGGATGGTCATCCGATTAGCTCTCTTAGGCATAAATAAATGTGTCTGGCATAACGTTTCTTTTGAATGAGTTGTTGTCTACAGAAAGCATGAAATGCCAAAAAGTCGTCCATTTAGCAAAATGCGTCTATTTAGCGAAGTGAGCTGCAGTTTCAAAATGGACACTTTTATTGTTTAAATACGGGAATAGAATATAAATTAAAGTATCATCTGATCAAAATATTAAATTTTATACTATCCAACACGAGTACGATTTTTTTTTTTTTTTTTCTTTACTTAAAGCAGATTTTTCCTTTTCTCTTCATTTCTGAAAAATTAAAGCATGTTGAGAAACGGCATTCCACATCAAAATTTACTCTGTGGCTGAAAGATACTTCGTAATACACTTTAGCAATAATTTTTAGTGGTGTGACAAAATGGAAGTTTAGTGTGACGTTTTCTTGTTTACGAACTAATATTAAAAAGAATGACTATGAACTTATTTTCCCCAAGTGAATAAAACAGGAAAAAGTGTGTTTTAAATTCTTATTAGTAATTTGCAGTGGTATTCCGTTATGCTTTAGTATAACTAATATATGATGACCTTGATATTGTGTAAACCGTCAAGTGGAATTTAATTTGTTTGTTTTTATTTTTAGTGTTTGTTATGTACACGTGTTTGTAAATTTGTTCTATTACCCACTGTGAGATTCTCCGGAAAGGTTCACGAAAAGTTAGTCCTCATATTTTTTTCATAAACTGTTTCTTTCATCATTACGAAATTAAGCTGTTCATTTAATCAAGTTTTCTGTTCATAAATTTTAAAAATATCGAAGGTATAATCAGAATTGCTTGTTATATCCCATAGTAACTAAATTGTATTTTCTTATGAGTGTAAGGAATTTTAAATGTTTAATATAAGTATTGTATGTATTTCGACTTTTTTTTCCTTGTTGGGTATTAATTTCTATCTGTAATCTTTCATTGCAATATGTTTTCAGATTATTAAATATTAATACCTGATGTTTATTATGAATTTTTCATATATCATAATTCATAAAAACTTGTTATATATATATATATTGTTATAATATTTGAACTGGTTTATAAGTTAATGCATGGTAAATAATGATAGAATTACTATATCTTAAAATTAGTATTAATTTCGTTTTTGTAAATGGTATGTAATTTGCAAGCTTCAGATTGATTTAAAGTTCCGATTAAACTTATTCGGCATTTGTTCTCTGACAGAAAGTTTCTTCAGGAAGGTATTTTCATATACCTTCTGGCTGTTTTCAAACATTTCATTTTGAAAACTGACTGTACTCAAACATTTCAAAAAACTAAATATTGATGATTTTGCCAATTAAATTTTTATTATATAATTAGTATGAAGAACAGTTGTGAGATAGATATCATATTATTTAAAGCTTCTTGGAAATATTAAAATATAAAGGAATATTAATATTTTGCAAGGAATACTAATAGCATGGAAAGATATACTTTGCAAAATAAACACATTCTTTGACTGATCAATATTTGAAACTCCCATTATAAGCATAGCATGGCATAAGTAACCAAAGCATGTGTCAGTGCTTTGTGTTGTGTGTTTGTGTAATCAATATTGTGTCATCTAGCTACTTGGTATTGTTGTTCAGCTTATCTATTTCCCATCATGTTTTGTGCTATACTAGTATGGCTATCAAATGCCATGTAATGCATTTGCAAAAAGAAATTCACCGTTTTGAAAATTAAACAAAATTTTCAATTACTTCAAAGGAAATAAATATGTGGATTGTTATAGTAAGTGATAGTATAGTTATAATACTGTTTATTAACAAAATATTTATTTCCAAATTAACTGGTTAAGTAATTTTTATTCTTAACAAGATAAGTAGGAACAATATGTGCAATGTTCCTTCTTATTTAATAAAATTTCTTTGACTTAATTAATTTTAATGGTGCACCTGGTTTGAATTCCTACCCTCCCTTCTCCTATCATTTCAGGTTTTCAATCGTTAATATTTGTCGTAGTGTTAATCAGCATTTTCAGTTATTAGTAGAATTTACTTTGCTATTTCTACTGATGTTATAAATAACCCAGATATTGGGAAGGAAAAAAAAAAGTTGTTGGAAGAAAAAAATGCTAAGAAATTAATGTATGAATTGTCAAACTAATCACAAAGAAATGAATAGAGCATTAGTGAACATAGAATTAAACAAATCATGTCCACACCATGGTTAAAATATGGCTGTATTAGTAAGATAGATATTTATCTGCAAGTTATCTTAAGCGGAAATACTGGATGTCAAGAAGAATCAGTGGTATCAGTTAATGGTAAAAATATATTTATGGGTGCCCCTTGGCGAAAGTTGGAGATTTTTGGTGGTACATGGATACCGAGTTTGTGCAATTCTTTGACTTGCTATTTTGGCTTTGTGTAGCGATAATTCATCAAAGAATTGCAGAAACTCAGTATCCATGTTCACATCGACCTATTTTCACTTAAAAAAAAGTCAGAAAATTGCACAAACTTCGCATCGCACACACCCTTGACTTTGTACATGTACACATTGATCTGTTTTCACTTAAAAAGTTAAAGGAGCACCCAATTTTACAGTAGAACCAAACAAAAAATACATAATCTCAATAAACTACATTTTAAACAAAACAATAAAAATAACATAAAATAGGAAATTCATCTTATGCATCTAAGCACTACAGAAAGCAAATTCCACTCACCTTATTTGGAAATTGCTTCAGTCTGTGACACACAAAATTCTTTAACAGCATCCAAAAACTTCCTAAAATTATCTTAACTAGAATCTGTATATCGGCGTAGCCACATAAATTCACAAAAATAAGAGTAAAAAATATCCTCCATAATGTCGGTATCTTCCGATGTTCAACCATATGCATTTCCTTCTTACAAACAGAACACTTATAATGGCTACTAAGTAAACCTTCATTTACATACTAGTCAATTAATGTTCTTTTTCCCTTCTGTTCCAAATTGTACAGAAACTTCAAATTAATCTAACCACATTCAGCCATTCTACCGTCTAAACTACAAAACAGGCAATGTATTTCTTAACCAACACACACCACAAGCCCTTACAAATCTTCCCATGATTCAAAATTTACTGCAACCATGCAACCGATTACATGATAATAGGCTTTCCATAACATTCAACTGCCCAGGTTACCATAAATGAAACAACAACCTGGCAATAAATGAAACAACAACTTGGTGATAAATGAAATAACAACTTGGTGATAAATGAAACAACGAGATAATACAAGGGCCACCCTTCAATCTACTCTAACCCAGTTAATATTTACATAATGTAATATACCTAATCATATATTTATTATTAAAAATTTTTAATTGTTTTCCTGAAATCAGAATGTCAGAAACAGAAGAAGCATCAGGAGGAGGAAGTGAGGAAACCAAGACTCAAGAAGGAACTTTTGAATGCAATATCTGTCTCGACACAGCAAAAGATGCTGTAGTAAGCCTTTGTGGACATTTGTTTTGGTAGGAAGTGTTTAATTTATGCAAAGTAATTGCGTGTATTAAATGAATTAATGAATGTACACTGAGTAAAACTGAAATTATAGCAGATAAGATATTGAAAATATTGCAGAATTTATGTAGATAATCATGATGTCAGTAAAAGTCATGCTAAATCAGAATCTTATAGGTGGTAGTCTACTATTGCCTGTTACTTTAACATAGGCACTTTGATGCCATTGCCAGCATTCCCATTTGTGTTCCTAATTCATATTGTCATTACCACACAGTGTTTTTTTTCCCGATATCATTTGAGATTGTAATTCAAGTCAGCCTTCAATAGCATGCTTTTCATGAAGCGAAACACACTGTAGCAGTCATGAGGGCCAGTTTAGTTAATTTTTAAATATGTCATTTAGAATATTTTCAAACTGCAGCAGATTTTAAGATACTATGTGATAGTTATATTTCTTCAGTACCATGTTGAATGGCAAATTGTTTTATATATAGAAGTAGGGATATTTGATAGCTCTGTAGTGGATCACTTTCAAATAATAAATGTGTTTTTTCTCTCAAAATGTTATCATGTTCTAGTTATCATCAAAGCATTCATGTCGATAAATTTGAGAAAAATTTCACTAATCCTTTTTAGTGTTGCAATTTCAATTTTACTCAGCATACACTGCGTCCACAAAAGTCCTTATCAGCCTTTAATTTTGCAACCGTCAATCATAGATATATACTTTCAGTTATAGAAGTATTTTAAATGATGCAAATATTCATGCGATGGCATTTTAAAGTTTAAAATTATATTTTGTAAAAATTATCAAAACTAACTTTTTATATTTGCTTCCATTTCCCATTTAGGAAAATTTTGTGCTTATTATAAACAGACAAAAAGAGTTTGACTGTCATATGACAAAAGTTGATCGATATAGATAGTTTCAAAATTTGCAGTTTCCGATATCCATATTCATTGGGGGGTCAGTTAATAAATAAAATTGAGGCTAAATTTCCTGTTAAATGCCATTCAATGATATTCTTTTTTCTGATTTTTAGTATTTATTCTTTTTCTCTTTTATTCTTTATATATATATATTCTTTTTCTGATTAATTTGTTTGTCAAAAGAATTTTCACACAGGTAATATATAAAATTCATTGAATAAGATCTCCATTTTGGGGGGAAAATTATCAATATTTTTTGCAATAATCTGCATAGAAATTGTCGCTTAACCTTTTAACATCAGAAAAATTTTTTTGAGCTGACATTTTATTTTTAGGTATGTACACTTGCAACATTTTGCTCTTCAATTTGTTTGTGGTACTTAAAAATGATATTGAATATCTCGATCAATTTTTGTCGTGAGAGAATCAGACTTTCTCTTAGTTTGATTTTTTATAATGAGTAGAAAATTTTTTTCGAAAATATAAGTATAGAGACTGCAGGCATGTACAAAAAGTTAGTTTTCATAATATTTGCATAATTGATTTCTTTAAATTTAAAAATGCTAAGATCATTAAAATTTTTTTTAAATTGGAAATACATGTTTTTGACTAGTGGTTGTGAAAATAAAGACTACATAACAACTTTTCTAAATAAGCCATATATATCAGTATCTTGTGTATTCTAATATGTTGTTGAAAAGATGTGTCATAGCTATAAAAGCTTTGAACTTTTAAATTCATAAAATTACTAACCAATTGATGTAGATCTGCAGGCTGCATCAGCTGGTTAATAACTTTATGTTATGATATCAAATGTATGATATGTTATAACATCATAGACTAAAATCAACGAGTCGTAAGAATTATAATTTTTAAAAAAATCATATTTCAAGTTCGAAGTTTTAAGAAAAGATTTTGGAACTTTTATTTCAGAATTCTTTTATGTGAATTTATTTATTTATTTATTTTTTTTTTTTTAAATCTTAGTTAAAGCTTTTAATTTTAGCTTAGTGTTAACTGGTAAATTGTATAAATAAGTTTTTGTAAAAATAATATGAATTCACAGTATAGTGAATAGCGTGTTGAAATTTTTTTCATTAACTATAGTTATCAGTTACAATAATTATGCCATCCATTTTCACACTGAGGCTTTCCATCTGCCATGATGAGGATACACTGGAAGACATTTACTTAAATGTCAGGTCAGTGGAGATCTCTGGTGGTGCACAGTAACTACAATTGTATTTCATTTAAAATTGTAAAATACAGCTGCATTCCCTCCCTTCTGCAATAAAAATACACACATTTTATACGAATTTTATAGCTGATCCATTATTATTTATTATCTCAACCCCTAGTTTGAATATTTGAAAATCTATGGAAATTTTCTAGTGTAGGAAGTATTAAATAGCAGAAAGAATTGCAGAATGTGTTGGTATAATCACTATAATCTTTGAAAGCAGTTACTTCTCTGTAGTGCACAAATTCACTTTGAAAATTGGACAATAATGGATTATTGTAATATAGTATAGTGTGACAAATTCGAAAGACAAGATTTAGCGTAGCTGAATTTATTCGGGTTCTTTCTAGGCTATATGCAAAAAAATAAAAATAAATAAACTTATAAAATATTGTTCTCACAGTAGGGTGAATAAGTTCCTGTTTAGATGAAAGTTCCTTGTTTGGAAATAGTTAAAGATCAGGTTAGGCTCAAGATGAGGCTGTCGTGAATTAATCAAATTGCTAAGCCTGTAGTTGCCAGACTGAGCTGTGTCCGAGCGGGATGCTCTTCGTAAGGTAGCGGCGAACCCGGCTACCTCACTGTAGATGTCTTGACGGAGATATTAGTATTGCTCCGATCGAAGCAAAAATTTTCTCGTGGCCGAGCTAGAAAACCCGAGAGAAGGTTTCTCTCTCTACTTACTGCAACTAACTGTCACCTTTTTTCTCTGTGTCTGGAACTGGGTTCCATGATTTTGTTCAAGTTGTCCTGGCCGTGTCGGAAAAACTTCTAGGATCCTTATTTGTCCGTAATTTTTAGAAGAGCCTCTTGACTGGCAAGAGCACTTTGATTAAAAACTGGATATGATGAAGACAGCCTGGGAAAAAGTCCGTGGGAACTTTTTGATTCCAACTGGGGGTCTGAGACACTGAACCTATAAACTGATGAAGGGGAACTGAACAATGTCTCCTTTCGAACAACTATAAGAGGAACAAAAAAGCTGAGAATGTTTTGTGACCGCTGGTCACTTTCTCTATCCTAAATTCGCTAAGGAATACTCTGTCCGTGGGAACTTTCGTGGTGGTCATTCTTTTCCTGAGAACTCTGTGATGGTCGATAAAATAGCTTAAAACGTTACAATAGACTAGATTTAAAAGATTTACAGTATCATAAATACAGATAATTCGGAAGTACGAATAATGTGCAACCAGAAGCCTGAACACTGAAGTAATTGAGTTTTAATTGAGATAGCACTGAAAGTAGCACCCCACATGATGAAATACTCACTTGCAGGAATTCTCTGAAAAATATGTGGCCAACATATCTTCCTATCTTGGAAATACAACTCATTTTACACGTGTGCTTAACTTTGCCAACAGTGATTTGGAAAATAATTTTGGACTCAGTATTTTAAAAAGTATTTTAAAACGTTTATACACTTGCAATGTAATGAGTACATCATAAAAAATTTTTTTTGACTTTTTGAATTTTATGTGTAAAAGTATGAAAATGTTCATTTATTTAATTAAGTGTAATGAATAGTTTATTAATTGGAAATTTTATTTGTTGGGGTATATAAAAAGTTATATTTTATTATTTACACAGTCTTCCTACTAACTGGACAGAAGGTATTTCCATAAAATTATTTATCCTTTTTACTTCCTTGTACGAAGTAAGGGCAGTATTGTAATCATGGAAAATTCCAGCTACTATATTTCAATGAAAATTTCCATTTTGACTGCTATTGAGTGCAATTTAATGATGTTTTTGCATGACATCTGTATGTAAGGACAGAATAAGGGACTCTTTTTCCCCAAATAGAATTTTAAAACTGATTTAAAATGGATTCCGAAGAGATTTTTTTATAGCATCTATACGTACGTATCTCACATAACTCAAAACTGAGTAGCTTCAGAAAGTTGAAATTTTGTATATAGGACTGCTATAGCATGTAGTTGTGCACCTCCCTTTTTGGTGGCAATCGGTTGCACCAAAAGTATATAAATATATATGTACCTACTCTGTTACTCGACTCAGTAAGTTTAGTTTTTTTATTCTTATATGTTGGTAAATTGTGCATTTTTTACTTTAAAAATGAATTATGTTGTTCTTATCTTCTAGTTAAGTTTTTTGTGCCTTTAGTGTATCTGCATACAATAGTTGTAGAATTATGAACAACTTAATACTTGTTTAAATGTGGCTAAGCTTTTTTTTTTTTTTTTTTTTTTACCAAAGCAGCCATATTTGTTTACATGTGAAACATAGCAGAATAGTGGATTGTCTTTCTGCACTTCCAGTGTCTTTTTACCAAGTGTGGCCAAAAGGAAACTTTTAGTTTTGTGCACTGAAATGAAAAATCCACCTTCTTGCCTGTTGGCCCAATTGCTTGTTTTTGCATAGAAACTGAAATTTTAATTGTTTTAACTGCATTTGGTGTTTTTTTTTTTTTTTTTTTTATATCTGTCAACTTTTATTAAAAATATTTCGAGTTTTTATGTATTTTTGCCTTGCTGCGAAGTGAGAACTAAATTAATTGAATGAGAAATATATCTTTAGTGAAATTCAAAGAAATAAGTTTAAATGAAATGCATATAATTTAATATTCCATATAAGGAAATCATGTTGTGTACACATCAGATTTTTTTAATAAATATTATAATTTGAAGCGTACACTTAGATCAGTATTTAAAAAAAAAAACAAGCCTACAGAGACTTCTTTGAATACTGTGTGTTAATCAAATTAAAATAAATAGTCCCACCTTCCAAATCTCGTGATGAAACTTCCCAACAAATTGAAAATTGGAATTCAATCTGCTCTCATTGCTGCCAAATTCCACTAGAGAAATCTATGGAAAACCTTTAGAAAGTTCTTCTAACTGAAGAGAACAAACAATGATGTAATCAAATGTATGTGTTTCTTAAAATTTTCATCAACGTTACTTATTTAGCCTTTGGTTACTATCCTGCTAGTAGTTTAAAAGCTATATATAAACAATAAATGCATAAAAATGTTTAATTTTAATCTGATGTGCATTTATTTTTTCTGAAGTTTGTCAATGCTTGGCATTGTAGCTCAGACAGTTAAGATAATGGATGATTAATAAATAAGTTTATTAAAATTAAAGTAAAAAAGATGCAAATTAAGAAAAAAGAATTTTGTTTTTAAATTATGATGACTTTTGGCCACCAGTTTTGTCTACTAAATGTCAGCTGTAGTACCTTAATTATCAAAAAAAAAAAAAAAAAGAGAGAGAGATAAAATGGAAAGAAGATAAATAGGAACTAAACAAAATTAAAACGGTGAAGAGGAGAAAATTTTAGCATACACATCTTTTATGGAAACTATGTAACAACAACAACAAACTCTTATAACCGCTTCTGCTACTGAAAGCAACTGCAGTGTTTTGTAACTATTCTAATTGTTACAAAACGATTGTTAAATGGAAACTATGTTAGCAAAACATTTTGTTTCTGGTGTAAATGCATGTTTTAAAATAACACAATATGTTGTCTATATAAGAAGACATTATAATTATTTTTGAAAATTAGTGAATAATTCATAATTGTGAGATAAGTATCATGGTACACAATTAACGTAATTTCATTTTGTATGCTCACCTATTGTCCTACTTGCCTGGCAGTTTGTAACTTAGCCTGTTATGCATTCATTTGATCAATTAAGCAACCAAAAAAATAAATAAATAAATAAATAAATAAAAGTAAATATTGGTGTAGGTTTCATATAAAATAAAAAAGGGGAATTTCATTAAAATTTGTACCCAACTAGGGTTCTCCCATCTTTTTTATGGCATGCTTCTTTTCATTATAGCTTTATGTGTCACCCTTGTGAAATGAAAATTTGAAATGCTTATGAAAAAGTCTAATATCCAAAAAGCAAAGCCTGATTAACAATATAAGATATGCTAAGCTTAAACCAGGACCAAGGCCCCATATCTCTCGCATCTTAAAGTTTTTTTACGTAAAAAGTAAAAAAAAAAAAAAAGAGATAAAAGTGAAGGGGACATTAAAAAGTAGAGTACAAAGTAGAGTACAAATAACAAAGTAGAGTGCAAAGTAAAGTACAAATAACTTTTTTTCTTGAGTACAAATAACTTTTTTTATGTACTTTTCCTTTATAGTGTAGTGTGCTAAATTATGGCAAGGAGGGAACTGTAATGTCATCGAGCTTCCGTTATAGAAAAAATAAGACTGGTTATCTTTTTAGCATTTAACATAGGCTTTCTTGGTTAATTAAAAATAACATTACAGCATTATTACAGAAGGGGAAAGACAACAGCTTTATGAAAAGAATAAGAAAAAATTTCCGTTATGGAAAAAATAAGACTGGTTATCTTTAAGCATTTATTTAAAAACTTAACATAGCCTTTCTTGGTTAATTAAAAATAACATTACAGCATTATTACAGAAGGGGAAAGACAACAGCTTTCCTGACGTATGATAGATCTTATTGTCTCGGCATTTTTCACACAAAAGCAAGCGTTTTCATATCTCTTTATGAGATCAGTGATGGATAAACCGCCAAGGGGGTGTTATTAATGAGTCTTCTTTGATCAGCTTCCCTGGCCCAGGCAGATACTCATGTCCATTTTCAAGAGAAATATAACCATTTACATTTACAGACACTGGCAGTTGCACAAAAATTGATGCTGAAGATCTGTCCCTCAAAACTCAAGAGGAGATGAATTTCGAAGCCTAAAAGTCCTTTATTTTCACTAAAACATTTATGGACATGCTCTTATTTTACTTGATGCTCCTTTTCTTTACTTCTGCTGGCGCCCGCTGTCTGCATCTGTGGATTTCATATCTCACTGCTGCCAACAATAAATTCAAGCTGAAACTTCATCGAGCTTAACATTTATTTAAAAACTTAATCTTTCTTAGTTAATTAAAAGTAACACTACAGCATTATTACAGAAGGAGAAAGTGAGCAGCTTTCCTGGCACATTGATGGGTGACTCTTGGTATTTTCCACATAAAAACAGGTGAGACTTTAAAGCAGTTACAGCATGAAATACAGAACAAAAGGCATGGACTACTTATTGACATGTATTTTTTTCGTGAATGACAATGCGGGATTGCATACTGTAGGCAGCTTAACTCATTTTGCTGGGAACAATTCTGTCATCTTTTTTATAGTCTGGACCTAGCTCATGACTTAACATAGGCTTTCTTGGTTAATTTCTTGGTTCTTGTTTGTTTTCTCATTTCAAGAAATTTTTTACCAGCCAGTACTTTGCAAGTCTTGATGAGATCAAGTTAAACATCCAGAACTGGTTCAAGTCACAGGCAGTCTACAGTTAGTGCCTTAATTCATATGGTGAATATGTGGAAAAGTAGTTTAAGGTAGACTAAAAGAGAAACACGCTAATGTGACAATCAAAATCGTAAAAACAACCTTGCATTTAGCGTAAGCATGTTGAAACACTCAATCGATTTCGAGGGCAGCTTAAGGTCCCTTCTCATCAGGAGAAAGAATACCTAGAAAGAAGAAAAATAAAGGGGAAGGAGTCTCAGAAACACGTGGTTCTTATCAGCACTGCACATGGTTATAACCGGATTTTTTAATCATAGTTACACTGGCCGCCTACTTTTACTGAGCAGGATCTGATCAAACCAGTAACACAAGGACAAGGAAAATTAGCAAAGTTAAAAATAGGGAGCGAAGGGCAACTGCACTTTCACGCTCAAAATCTGAACTTCGAATAATGGAAAGCAACCACTGAACGGATTTTTATTCCCTCTGGTAGTACCAATAATAGTTTAAGGTGTTTATTTTTCTGTAATAAAATATAAATTGAAACAAATTGCTAATTTTTTAATACCCAAACAGTATTTACTTTCTAGATCAACTTTGTATGTTATTATATACTCAGATATCAGTTATTTCCTGGGGGGGTGGGGGGGGGGGGGGGGGGGGGGGGGGGGGGGGGGGGGGGGGGGGGGGGGGGGGATGATTTATTTACATTTTTAAATTTTAAAAGGATTATCAGGCTTAAGCAATGAAGTAAATAGAAATTTTCTCAAAATTTAAAATGAACTTTTTTGTGTGTGTATGTGTGAGTGATAACTATAAATTTTGAAACCTTTTTTTCATGATAAAGTGAAATGTCAGTTTTCCTCTTTTATGTATTCATATTCAAAAGATTTTTACTCTTATGCTATATTTATTAATGTTGTACGGACACATATTTGTGAAATGAGTTTTACTTTATACTTATAGTTGGCCATGTTTGCATCGTTGGTTAGAGACACGACCTAGCCGTCAAGTCTGTCCAGTATGTAAAGCAGCAATAAGCAGAGAGAAAGTTATTCCTTTGTATGGCAGAGGAGGCTCAAACCAGGATCCAAGGTAGACATTCTTTGAGTACTTTAGAAAGCACTTTTTTCACAACTCGGGAATTTTTCCAAAATTCATTGCAAGATATATAGAAATAAAAAGTAGTTTTATTAAAGAAGTAATCATTAATTAGTATGTTGCTTCATTTTTAATGCCAAATTACATGTATGCCATTTTTTTCCGTAATGTGAGTTTTAAGTTATGTGAAAAAAGTGTGTTGAAAATGTGTATATAAAAGAAAAGCTATGTTATTGAATAAATTTATATTATATATATATATATATATATATATATCCTGAACTATATAAACATTTTGTGATTTTTCATTTAAGTGTAAATTTGTGTTCATCTTAGTCAAATCAAAATATATATTTTCTGTTGAAAAATTTGCAGAGAACGATTACCTCCAAGACCTTCAGGACAGAGAACAGAACCAGAAAACCATGCTGGGGTAAGTCTTGAGTACATGTATTTCCACAAATTAAGCAATAGTGGAGAAAAAAGAATGATAATTAGCTTTTTAAAAAACTGATATTTCATAAAGTTTCTATTTAATATGCGAGTTAATTTTATGACTTGAAAAGTTAATTGTATCACTACAATGAAAATATGTAACTTTTTGAGGAAGTTTAATATTTAAGAAAACAATGTTCATATTTTTTGGGACAGGCTATGTATTCTGTCAATGGATATAATTTGAAATTTCTAGGATTTAAAAACTGGCATAATATTCATGGGGTTTTCTGGTTAATCTTATGTAAAAAATCTTTTAGGTATGCTTAGACTGCAAGGTTTTCAGTGTAATGGAACACATCATTACTTGTTCATTTCTCTGTAGGTTTCATCCATTATTAAAGATGAGAATGATATTATTGATTATATTAAAATACGAAAAGTTTTTTGTTAAAATATCAGTAGTCTAAAAAATTCAGATAAATTATAATTTTCACTTGAAAATATGTAAGTTTTGAATGTGTCATATGTAAATTTGTGAAAGCAACCAAGCATTCTGAAATGTAAGATTTTACTAATTTGAATTCTGTGATCAGTTTCATCGTCTAATGTATTAAAAAAAAACTTATTTAAAACTTATTTAAAAACTCCCATTATATTTTTTAATTTGCCTTTAAGTGAGCTTTTCCATAAATAATATTTAAATAACTATCATGTTAAATTTATAATTATTGTTTTAAATTTACATTTTTCAAATAACTCTTAATAACATACATAGATTTAGAATATATCTTTTAGGACATCATGTTTTTGCTCCATCTTCCCACTGCTATACTACACTTTACAAGTAATCACAGTTTGCAAAAATCTTGCAAAAAATAAGAAAGAAAATTTAGATTTCCTAAGTAATGAACACACATTACAAATCAAGCAACTCAAAGGACTTGAAAATCCCCTTTTACGCTAATTGATATTATTTCTTTTTATTCTACTTAAAGACGTAATTCCAGAGAGAATTATTAATTTGTATAACAAAGTGTTTTTAAAGGAACAAACAAAGAAAAAAAAAAAAATGCTACTCAGAAATTAAAAAAATATGTGTGCTTTTATTTTCTTAATAAAATTAAGTATTATTTTCTTACACATTTATTTAAAAATAATTTATGAATATTTATTATAAAAGATAAATTATTTTGGCACCAAGAACATTGAATAAGTGATGGTCTGCCATGGGATTCTCAGCCCTTTTCCTCCATCGACCCTGTTCAAAAGAATAATTTTCTTTATTGACTGCCTTTTCTCTATAACATACAGCATTCAGTATGATAATACCAATAATTATTCTTAAATAACTTAAAAGTAAACTATTAGACTACAAACATGAGCAGAAGTTTTAGAAAAATGGTTTATTAGATTTATGTTTTATTATTTTTTGTATTATCATTATTTTTAATTTTGCAAATGTAAGCAAGTTTTCAAAAACAAAGCCACGGTTTCTAATTGTGTAAAACTTCAGTTTTAAGTAATGTGTGCAAATTTTTTTAAATATTGGGAATAAAACTGCTTAGTTCTTAAATCACCTTCTTAAAAACTATTCAGCTGGTTTCTTGTAATAAATTATTGTCTTAAATTATTATATTAAAAACTGCTTGCATTAGGTAAAAAGGGAAGGTCAGCAATGTTGGTTTGGTAACAGCTTTTATTTTGAGATATTTTTCTTGGTTGAATTTTAAACATTTGGCTAACTTAGTGTAGTACTACATGATACAGCTTTATATCAGTAAGTAATTATCAATTTTATGTATAAATTTTTTGATAATCAGTGGGATCTTGATTATGCTAATCATTAGCCTGGGCATATTCGGCTGTTGATCTCCGTTAAAATTTTTGGATCCCGAATGCTCTATATTGACCCCATTGGGAATCCTCAGTTTAATTGATTTTTTTTTATCTATTTTAAAGCTCTAGGTTAAAAGCATGTTTATTAATCTTGAATCATATTTTGATATTTGCTCAAAACTTAGAAAAAATTTAGTTATGCATTAAAGAATGGATCTTGATGCCGTCTTCTCTGGAGGCAATTTCCTGCAATTTTAAGAGATAAAAAATAGAAATTTTGTACAGAAATTTGCATTATAAGGCTTGCATGAAGAAAAAAGGGAAATAAGAAAGTTAAAAGAGTGTCCCCCTTTTTTTTTCTTTTATTGTCAAATAGAAAATAAAGTAATTTCAAAAGTATTGATGATTTAAAGAAGTGGTACTTCCATATTAACCACCAGTGAGAACTTCAGGTGGCTGCAAAATATAATAATTTATCAGTTCTTTCGCATTGTAACCATTTTTACAACATTCATTATCACTCTGCTTGTCTTAGTCTGCTAGCTTTGACATGTTCCAGATTTTTTATCTTCTTAATGGATCTCTGGCATTTGCAAGATAATGAAGTAATTACTCTTTTTGAAATTACAAAATGTTGTTGAAAAAAATTTTTTTTAACTCACATAAGCCAAATATTGCTACATATTTTGTAAAAAAAAAGAAAGAAAGAAAAGAAAAGAAGAAAAAAGAAAAAAAAATACATACACGTTAAAAATAGAACCAAAAACATTAGGAACAGATCATAAAATTAGACGTCCTAAGTTTTTAGATTGATTTATTTTCTCCAGCAAATATATTAAAAATTGTTACTTGCATATTATTGCAACTATCTTAGTAGATGTTACCAGATTTTCAGAATATATCACACTGTTGCAACCACGGAGGTAGGAAATAAGAAGGAGAGGCCCTAACTGGTTTTCCCTATACACTATTTTGAAGCACTGGCGATCCCTTCGTGGTGACCAAAACATTGGGTGATTTACCATTAAGATTAATGGGTTTTGACACTATCGGATGTAAGTATTTGGTCCTAATATTGTTTAAGCATCAATGTCATAAATTGCATGTATTTTAAACTGTGAAACATTTTATAGATTTTTTAATAGTGCTTTTAACAATATTGTTAAAAAATAAAATTTATAGTGGCCATGTAAAATCCATAATGAAATTATCTAACTACCTAATTAACTTAATCCTAACTGCTTACCTTAAAAAATCTCTTCTATTGTTAAAAGAGTTATTGCATTTCATTATACTCCCTGTGGTCAAGTAAAATACACAAAAGTAAATTCAATTAAAACTATTCTTTGTCTCAGTGAGACTTAAAATAATATAAAGCAACTTTCACCTCTGGTTGCTTTAATGGCTTACGGGAACCTTAAAGTATATTAACTGGGTTACAACCTGAACTCTACACAAAGCTACGACACTAACTCATCCAACAGAGCCTGGATAACTTTCACACTGACAATCATGCTACATAAGCCTTCAGGTTGTTCTAACAGCAGTTCTTAGCAAGAAGCAGCGGTGACAAACATTCAGTCTTTGTTATGAATCATGCTGATATGATCTTACTTCTCATTTTAACCTCTCCTGTTGACATAACATCACCTGCTACTTACTAACTCTCTACTGACCCAAGTATATGACAAAAAATGAGACAAAAAAAAAAACAAAAATCAACATAAAGCTAAACTGTTAGTAAAACGTAAGTCACTTATCTTATTCATATGTCCAACTATTATAAATGCTTTAAATGTACTTAATAAATTGATAAAGTTTATTTTTTTCTCAACTTATAATTATGTAATTATTCTGTTTAGTATATGCATACTTTGGGATACTTTTTTTAGAATGGTATTACAAAAGTGAAATTCGGCATACATAATTTTTCATGAATTATTAGTTCTCATTGCTCGGTTTCATTTTTTCTAATGGTCCTTAAAAGTACTTAATTCCATATGCAGAAAATGTGTACGATCCTGGTCAAGGGAGCTTCTGAATGTAAAAAAAAAAACACCCATCTGGAGACCAAAGCTTCGGAGCAGTGCTTCACTCTGTTAGTGCAGGATTGGCCTCTTCCTTTCTTACCTCCATGTGTGCAACCATGCACATAAAGCATTTTTCAGACAACCATGTTTATGGTTTTTATAGACAAATTATGATATTTTTGCCTTACTCAGTTATTTAATTTTTTTGCACTTTTCAGGCAAAGGAAGAAACTACAGCAAAATATCTCTAAAAATACAGTATGATCCATTATGAGATACATTGGCAAATAGCTGCATCTAGGTTTATGAATGCCTTCAGGTATTTTTAGGTGAAAACAAATCACTGTGTATATGAGAAGAACATGGGAAATATATAAAAGCATTTTATTTTTTAATGTATCCTATAATCCTTATTTAATAATTAAAGTTTGTATTGATTTTCTAAAATGTGTTTCCTTTTGATATGTTGATGCAATAAATGTTGGTGGCTGTCGAATCGTTTTTTAAAATATTACAAAAAATCTTAGCTTACACCTTACATATATATTTTATATGTAAAGATATTTTACAGGTGAAAAGTTTAACTTACCTTATCTGTAAGTTTTGCCTTTCATCTGTAAAATATCATTAGATTGCACCAGGGTGGTTGCATCAATACATAAGTACTATGAATTTAAAATATAAAATATTTGGAATAAATAATAAATTAAAATATTAAACTTCCCTCCTCCTTTAAGCTCAGTTTTGAGTTAGTGCGAGATATTTGATAGATTTTGCTTACACAAATAATAATCATTTGCTAGTGTGCTTGATATAGAAGCATACTGAAATCTGTAGAATGTATACTGATAGATACTGTCGATCCTAAATTATGCTACCTCCCTAAATTCTAAAAATTGCTGCCCAGCACCTCTCCTAAATTCTAAAAATTGTGTTGCTCATTGCTTTTGTAAATTCTAAATATTTTGCTGCCACTTAATTCTGTTAGATGTTGCAGTCACACTGGTTGCCTTCGGGAAGCTTTTTGCAATTTAAAAAAAAAGTAATTTCATAATGTTATTAGAAATCATGTAGGATTAGAATGTCAACATGTACATTTAAACATTATAGTGAGTTTCTATGTCTAGCATTAGGTGGGAAATGTTTTATGCCATTGATAAAGCGTTCTTATAGGTTTGTGCTAAAATTTAGAAAAAATTTTATGCCATTGATAAAGCTTTCATATTGTATGTTTGTGCTGAAATTGAATAAACTTTATGTTCAGTTTATAGTTTTTAATAAACACTATTTTTTTTTTTTTATTTATTATATATTTAGTATATTCTACAGATTATTTGTTAAAAAAGGAAAATATCTTCATCATTGAGTAATGTTTCATTCTTCCTTATATCAGCAGTCCTTCCCTGGGTTTGGATTTGGAGACACAGGTTTCCACATGTCATTTGGAATTGGTGCCTTCCCTTTTGGAATATTTGCATCCTCCTTCAATTTTGGAGATGGCCGTCCTGCGCCTCGTGAGTTTTGTTTAATTTTTATTTTGAAGTGGGCCAGTTATTAGAAGTAATATTTATGTACATGCACATAATTTACAGAGAGTGAACAATAATATCTGTAGAAGTAAGCATACCAAATCAGCGATTTTTAGATTGTTGTTTACCACAGTTGAATTGCTGAGAATGTTATATATCCGAGAGATTCAAATGACCATCACTGTCCTCATCGAAGCAACTAACAGCCACTCAGCCAACCTAGATTGTCATGTTCTATTTCCTACTCTCCTGCTAATGTAGTAATATACTATGGATCAATTCTCCCCAAATTCCTGCATCAATAGCTTGTCATAGAAAGCATTTGTAGTTTCTTTAGGTTAAATAACTGTCTTTTAGCAATTTGGTGTTGATTCTTCCTTAATGCAATATGTTTCTTTTTAAGCTTTCTTAAAATGCCTAGGTATTGCAAAGCTTTTGCCGAGTTAGAAATTTAGGTACTGTCCTTTGATATGGTAGTTAGGGAAACAGATGCCAAGGATTTTGTCTTGACCAAGAGGTTCTAATCGAACGAAAGCTTCTCTCAACTCATGAGACCCCCCCCCCAAAAAAAAATTTAAAACATTAAAAAAAAAAAAAAAAAAACAGAAAATAAGGTAATTCTTTCTTCAAATTCTGTAAGTATCACAAAATTTATAACTCATAAAAATATTGATGCTGTTTAACAATATAGTTGAATCAGAAAAGATGGTGGCTGGAAACTGAAACTGAAATAAATAATGAAGAAAAGGAAGAATAATGGCAATTTAATATGAATGTAGTACAATGTTAGAAGCAAATGTTTGAAAGAAATGTAAAGAGAAGGAAGTGAAAGAGTGGTCATCTATTATTAACAATGATGCCATAAATTTCTGCCCGTTTAAACATTTTCAGGACCAATTCTCATAATTTATCTGTTGCAGCTTAACTGCATTTTAAATTTTTCATTAGCAATTTCATCTGTAAAAGAAATGTGGAATTTTTACTGTTTTCCTCTTAATGAGCATAATAATAAATGAAAAATAAGTGATTCTTAGGCTAAAATAACAAACTGAATAACGTTTGTTGGAGAAGTCAAGAATCAGCATCATTTTTGTAAATTTTGCAGGTTTGAATACAGAACCATCTTCTTCAGCTGCCTAAGTGTGTGTGTGAGGGGCACTTAATAGTTAAATAACATATTGCTGGAAAACGGAATCTTTTTAAAAAAAAAGAATAAAGAAATGGTGTTATTTTCATTTTTGAGACAAAGAAACCGAAGTTAACAATACTGAAGACAGCCGTAGAGCCCATCGTTTTATATTTACAAAACAAATTTCAGCAGCTGTAAAAATTTCAACGAATATTATATGCTGAAATACCAATGACATATTACTGTTTAAATGTGAAGAAGTATTAGGGATAGTGTGTGTGAAATTAGCTATCTGCCTGGGCGGCACGGATGATTTTGTAAAGGGACATTCTAAGAGAAACTGGTTTGTATTCACATTACACATAGGAAACTACAAAAATGTTGCTACCCTTTTCCTGCTACAAAGAAAAATCAGTGTTCCCTGATTTGAACTTTAGACAAAAAATCGGTATTCATTCAGTGGTAGTTATTGGTGGGGATCCACTTAAATAAGTAGCCAGATTATTGATCTCCAATTTACTATTTGATTTGTAAACATTTAAAATGTTATTTTCTCTCTCTCACACATGCACACACACACACACAAAAAAAAGCAGAGTTTAAATTTTGTGAATGCATTACTTTGTAAACTATCAAAACTGTAATGCAAATAAATATTCAGTTACATATGCTATTATTGTGGAGACAAGATGATAATTTCCCTGTTTTCTGGAAAGATTAAACAGGAGTTAAATTATGAGAATAATGGCATTAGGTTTATATAGATGTCAAAAGAATTCAGCAATGTTAAGCATCGTGCTAATTGACTTCAGTTCCTAAAAATTAAGATGATAATTCTTAATTATTCCATTCAAAACTTATTTCAAATGCATTTAAGTGTATGACAATGTATCTTCCCACTTCATAGAGCTGCTTCTGCCTGAAAAAAGAATATGTATAATCAGTCATCTCACATTTCTCCATATTTATCTTTCCACGTTTATTTTCACTTATCCAAAAATTAAGTTACCTCTCAAAGGAAAGTTATTTTTTTTTTTTTTTTTTTTTTTAATTATTTTTTTTTAACATGGAAACTATAAAAGGAATGTGTCATCTACTCATGGAGACATGCCAGAAATAGACGTCTACAAGATTCTTCTCTTGAAATACCTGTTACATCCCATCTTTTAGTAAAAATGTATGAAATATGAATTTTTATGGCAACCCTCTTATAATGAATGTTTCATATAGCTAGTTTTTCCTCATACCACTGCAGATAATGTAAAAAATATACTCTTTAGTATGGAAATTAATGATCTTAAAAATTGTCAACATTATATGATTAGATTATTTGCAGCCGATTTTAAGCTTGAATTATTAGGTGTGGTAGAACAAATACTTGATTCTGTTAACCGGAATTGCTTTGGAGATGCTCCTGCCATTGGGTTTAGAAGATGCCTTTGTCATTTGGTAAACAGGTTTTAACTCAACAACTTACTCACTGAGCTTTACTTTAAGTTTAATTTGCTACAAAGGTGTTTAGAAAACAACAGCAGAACAACAACAAAAAAGGTCTCTGGGAAAGATACAACTAAAATTTAAAAGGGTTTGACAAGAATACACAATTTATGGAAGTATAACGGTTGAAAAAACTAAATATTATGTCAGCATTGAAAACAAATATTTCTGAAAGAAGGAAATTAGAAAAAAGAAGGTATAGGTAGTTTGTGGAAAATCCTTTTCAGAGAAGTTCTGTGTTCATGGTAAAATGTCTGCACGTTCAAGCCATTTTTTGTCAAAAGTTTTTCAGTGCAGTACCTCAAGTATTCCAGTGAATGGGCCTATGTTTTGAAAAGGCACAAGACATAACATCGTAGGTGAATGTGAAAGATGACTATTTTTTCACTGAAGGGCTGTATTAATTTAACGTATGTTATAGTATGTTATATCATACCTACAGAGATGGAGAAGCCAAAGATATCTTAGCCAAGTTTGTTAAAGATTCAATAATTTATCTAAAGAAATATATGGACATAGGCTAGGAACATTTTTAATGTTGATGAAACTAGTCTTTTCTTTCATCTTCTGTCTTCAGCGTCACAGTCAAAATTGCTTCATAATTTTATGCTGAGCAAATACCAATGAAATGGAAAGCGATAAGAATTTGACAAAATTCAAGATGTTTCAAAAATGTTTATGATATATTGGGAATAAAAACATGTGTATGATGATGGATATATTTAAAGAATGCCTTAAGAAAATGGACAAGGAGTTAAAAAGATTAAAAATAATTTTTTGCATAAAATTTAGTTTTTTTTTTTTTTTTCAAATTTATACTACTTGATTCTTGCGATTTTAAAAGTAAACTATTTATACTTATTCTGAAATATGGCTAATATTTTAATAAACTTAAAGTAAGATGATAAAACGTAATGATGTGTAAAGCAATGGCACAATATATAACTATAAAGTAATGCAAAATTTAGTAAACAATATTTGTGTCTCCTCCTAAATTAAAAGTTGACTATGCATCTTTTCCATTTCTGATCCTGCCTAAATGTTTCACTGAAAGCCATTTTAACTGCTCTTTACTGTATTTCCTCTTTTAATGCAAGCAGTTTTCAAGTGCATTGTGGTGCATACTGGGTACAATGATAAACGCAGTGGCAGATTCAGTAAACAATATATGCATCTCCTCCTAAATTAAAATTCTATTATCATCTTTTTCATTTATATATCCTTTCTGAACTGTCCATTGAAAGATGCATTATATGTGCTTTCTTTTCCAAAAAGAATCTTTTCCAGAAAGCATGCGTTTTTCATATGCATCATAGTGCAAATTGGGTCTCAAGGTATTCCTTAAAAGGAAATGCAGTTAAAATAAATAAAAAACACTGAAAAAATTTATATTAATAAATACAGTTACAGTCAATGAATAAATATTTTTTTTAATCATTACTTGAAGAAGTATAGTTCAACCATGCAAAACAAAATAATTAAAATGGAATCTAAAAGGGAAAAATCTAAAAATAACAGCTGTGATTAAAAAAATGTAAAATAAAAATATTTCAAAATAATAGAAAGAAGAAACAAAAAAGAAAAAAGTCATTTTTCTGCACATTCCGAATGAAAGGAAAGTGAAATAGGCAGTCATAAACTGAGAAGTTTACCAAGTGAATTAATTAATCATGTCACAAAGTAAAAAAAAGATGTGCCAAGCTAAATCTTCGAATTTCTCCTTAAATTTATAAAATTTGGTATGTAATACATATTTTGGCTCATAAGATCAAAACATGTTATTTTAAAGTCATCATGTCATTTTTAAATTAATTTTTACCAATTTTAAAGTCTAGTTGTATGTCAAAACATGTATTTTAAACAACAATATATATATATGTAATATATATCCAATGTTGCACTCTCGAGACTTGGGGGGGGGAGAAGTTAAATTTCAGCAATCAGCCAACTTAGAATGGGAGATTAGAACTGAACTCCCCCTTTTTTTTTTTTTTTTTACTTGGTGTATGTGCTTGCTGCAGGGCATCCCTTCTCTTGGGCTGTTAGACCTAATGTATGCAATCAAATTAAATAACTCATTTAAAAAATCTTATCAAAAGAACTACATTTTTATTACATGCTGTATTATGCTATATTTTCTCTGTTCTTGTGTATGATATGGGAACTTATTGTGAATTAAACTATGCCTGTGCTTATTGTACTCTGATTCTTTTTTTGGTCTACTAAACTATTTTTAAAATGTAGTTTTGGCTTTTATATACATAATACTAATGAATATGTGGCAAGAGAAGGAAGTGCATTTAATTTTTTAAAAATACACTATATTTTTGTTTCAGTTTTTAGTAAAAAAATTTTATTGATTAGTAAAGATTATTCGCTTTTCTTTTCTTCCCCCCCCCCATTTAGCTCCTGGAACTCCAGAATTTGAAGAAGATCAACTGCTCTCAAAGGTTTTTCTGTATGTTGCCATCGCATTTATCATATGGTTACTATTAGCGTGAATATCCTAAAGATTTATACACATATAACCTTTTCTATTGTATCAAAATAATCCAAGGTCTTATATCTTGCTTTTCAAATCATGAATTTGTTCTGACTTCCTGAAAACCTTGTACAAAACTGGAATGTCAAAATAGTTACTATTTTAATTGAAAATGATTTTGTATAATACTCGTTCTATTTGAATACTCAGTGTTGTATTTTTAGATATATGTTAAGTAAGTTTATATTTGACTTCAAATTAATTTTTATCAATGAATTTCGTGTTAATATAAAATATAACTGTGAATAATGCCTATATATCTCATCAGTATTATTTTAATTCTGCAATAATATTTTTATTTTTTATTTTGTTTTTATCATTCCAGATGTGCTGTTTCAAATATGTATTTTTAAACGGGGCAACACAATATATGTGCTCAATATGAATTAATGAAAGTTATTAATTTATATAAACAATATACTCTATTACTATGCAAATTATGTACTGCTTTGCAGAATGAAGTGTTAACTTATTGTGTAAATATCATTAGAAAATGAATATCTGTAATATATTAGAAATTTTGGATGTAGTATCTTTTTTAAATCTCTTTATATGTATTGCATTCAGAAAACAAAACATCGTTTTAAATCATTTAAACCTTTTAAACTTATTTTATTATTATTTTATTTCTCCATGTATGGTTTGGTAAAATAGATGAGTAGTTACTGTAAATTGTTTAAAACTAGGTAAATGTGTATTCATTTGTTTAAGAAGGAATTTAAAAACTGGTAATTTATATAAATGCTCAATAATATAAACTATCAATTCCTATGTAAATTTTATACATTTTTTTTTAAATTAATGTGTTGAATAAATTTCTGTATCATTCTTTCATTTCATTTATATATCCACATTATTAATTTGAAAAGTAAGCATTTATTTGAAGTTGTTGAACCCATTTTCTTCTATACATGGGGTGCATCCTGATATCATGCTGAGCATTCAGTCTGCCCCTTACAGTAACTCCACAAGTTGTAAGTTGTTAAGACTTATTTCATACTGAAGTTTTAAGTTCCCCTCCCCCTTACCTTTGATTATGTAAAATATATAATTGTAATTTTTAATCGATTCGTCCATATTTGATTTAGAAATTAAATGCGTATGACTCTAACTTGTTTTTACAAATTAAGAGTGATGTAGTACTCATTCAGATGAGCAATAATTACCATAGAACACAGAGTCGCATTCCACTCTGAGAGGCAGAAAAGGGGAATAATAAAATTCCATCCTGAACTTACAACATTGTTGGTATAAGGAATGAACAAGACCAAAAGCTGCACAATCAGTTTAATAAAAAACTTGCAGAAAGTGCACAAACCAGATAAAGCCCAAAACTTGGCATTTGAGTGTTAATTCGAGCTCGCACTATTGATGCCAAACACTCAGATCCACATCATTGGTTGGCACTGTTTCAACCTCGCAAACAATTGAAACAAGTTAATCATCTAATCAAGGGCTGAATATTATAAACTAACTCCAACTTCCAAAAACTGCTACCTTGATATGATATCTTGTTGCAATCGTTTGTGAGATTGAGACCAAAGATGTGCAACCAAATATCTAACCAAAGATATGCATTTGAATGTTTGCTCGTTTGAGCTCAAACTAACACTTGAATGTGTTTAACTTAAGTTTGAGCTCAAATTAACACTTGAACGTTAAGTTTTTGGTTTTATCCATTTTGTACATTCTGTGAGTTTTCACTAAACTGATTGTGCAACTTTTGGTCTTGTTCATTTGCTCTCCCAACACTGTTGTAAGTTCAGGTTGGAATTCTAATTTTCCTCATTTCTGCCTCTCAGAATGAAATAGGACCCTATGTTTTATGTTTATATATACAGTATGAAATGAGTAAATGCTCATTCATTTCCAGTTTTGGCTGTGCAGATACCAACACAATGCGGATGAGAATTAGCCTTCTCTTCAAAAACATGACTAAATATTTATGTAATGTTCATTCCTTAGTTAGCTTTTATTGCAAATCATGACTTTCTCAGAAAGTGCCAAATTTCTAACACTACAGTGAGTGTTGCTGTTTTCAAATTATGGATGTGTCATTTTTCTGGATATTTTCAAGTAAATATGGTTATTCTTGTCATTTCTTCTATTATACAGTGTTAGCATTCATATGTATGCTTTGAAACGCTTGGCATGCAGAGCATAATAGAGTTGTCATGGAAATTAATACGCATTCAGGCTGATAGCTAAATATAATTTAAGTGACTTTCATACATGTGTATAAAATTAAATAAAACTATTGACGATTATTATTATTTATTATGTCCAAATTATCTGCATCTGCCAAGTGATCTATTCTGTAAGTAAGTTTATTGATTGCGATTATTACTTTTCTGAGGTTAGCCTTTCCTAGCTGTAGATTATGGTTCCATGAGAATTTTATAGAACTTATCATTCTATAAAATTGAAAATATGTAAATTGCAGTTACTGAAATGCATTTCTGTTTGATTGTAAGAGTCCCACCAAGTATGCTGGATGCTGGGATTTCAACCTGGGTTTGATTCCAAGTGAAAGGGCTAGCAGCATTGTTGGTTTTCATTATTTTCCTACATGTATAATATGAGTTAGTTTTCCTTCCACAAAGGCATCCTTCTCCTTAGGCTGAAAGCCCTTTTGAGCTTTGCTATATTCAAAAATAACCAACTTATACTCATAAGATATGTAGTTTAAGATACTCAAAATTATTTATAGTAGCTTGTTAATATTTTAATAATTGTATATTTTAGCATTAGTTTATTTTCTTTTATTTATAATTTATAGTAATCCATGGATTGAAAAAAAATTATGGTATAAATTTATTTCCTATTAGTCTTATCACTATGTCTGTTTTATATAATTTTAAACAATGCACATTGCATTTTACCAGAATTTTTTTAGCTCATTCAAATACTGTCATATTGTTTTTCCTGTGTGCTTGCTATGAAATATTTGATTTTAACGACATTTTAAAGTAATCTGAATATTTCATGGAAGCATTCTTATGCTTGTTATTGTATGTTCAAAATTAAATCACAACTGAAATTTAAAAAGCTATAATTAGGTACTGAAATTGTAATTTGGAGATTTTGGTTTGATAGCTGTTGTAGCATCTTATTTCAAGGTTAATCATAATAACAAACCAGTTGAATAATTACAGGTGAGTGCAGTTTGTGCATTTAGTTGGTTATGAAGCTATACACCAGTGGAGACAATATGATTTTTGTCAAGCCCTTTTTTAATCAAGAACATCATGGAAAATGAAATACAGAGTTTCATATCCCTATTACCCTGCCACCTATCTCACCCGCCAGTTGCCAATGGGCAAAGTCATTAAACACAGGTAGTTCAGCCTGGGTTCGAATCCTAGCGAATGGGCTGGTTGCATGTGAATTAAATGTTCTCCACAAAGGCACCCCTTTCCATAGACAGGTAACCTTTGAGTTGCTAGGGCTTAATCAAAAAACCTAACCTAACCTATTAAGATTCTGGCAGTTCGCAAAGGTGGTGTAGTTATAAACATGCATAATTACCAAGGATTTGCTTTTTGCCTAAAGGAGTCATGCCTTATGGAAGATTCTCAGAAGAAAAGAATTTATATTTGCATTACCCGAAAGGATGATTTAAATTTTTTAATGAGAAATAGTTAACACAAATTCATTTTATATTGATATCTGCAGAGCCATGTTAAGTCTGCTAGAAATAAATTTGAATTTTTAATATGCATTGTCATTACTTTTCTATTATACCTGTTAATATTGAAATTTCTATGGTGAGAAAGTACTTGGTTTAAAAATTTGCTTTCATGAAGAACTTCAGAAGATTACATTTCTGAATTGTTTTTCTTTTTAATGCAAATATAATAGATTTGTAAAAGATAAATATGTACATATTTGTAAGTTATTGCATATATTAGGTTATAAAGAATTAAATCTAATTCTACTATTCATAGGTCTTTGAATGTGTCAGTCTTAAGAATAAGTGATATTACCTTATAAAGGTGTACTTTGTGAGACAATAAATGTACAAAGTGTTATTTGCTAAGCTCAAATGCAGTGTATTGAATTTTGTTTATTTGAGGGTTTGTTTTTAATCGAGCTTGGGCAGCTTGGTCTAAACTGTTGCTTTACTGGTTCATATATAATATTTTTTCAAAAAATGAAAGCATTTTATTTTGGGAAATTTTATTTAAACAAAGATTTTAGTATAATCTTAATTGAAAATCATCATTTTATAAGAATTTAAAAAGTGGCAGCATATTGTATAGATTTCAGTTAGTGTTAAAATTATCCTTTTCCTGTACAGTTTTTACTGATTAAATTAGTTTGTAAAATCTTTTCTATGTGCATATCTGTTTTGTTTTCCCAGTCCTCATTATTCTAATTCGCAAGAAAAAGATTACATTTAACATGTATTAACATTAATGATGAACAATAAAATATATTTTAACTATCTGTTTTACTGTTCAGCATAATAAAAGGTGTACTGATGTTTAAAAATATATAATGTGATCAAAAGTAATGGGATACTCGTAGAACAGAGTTATGGCAGATGCGGTACGAATAAATTTGAAGTTAGAGACTTCTTTGGGTGCAATACGAATAAGCGTAAAAAGGTCATTCTTTAAATTTTTATACTTTATTCATGGAATACCTTTCCATTTTTACTGAAGTAATCTGTGCAATCAATGATTTTGAACGAGGTGATATAGCTCACAAAGGACATCACAATTCATCCCATAAATGTTCAGTGGGATTAAGGTTAGGAGAGTTTACGAGCTGGTTCCTATAATATCCAATTAGAAGACCATGCATGGATTGCAATCGAGTGAAGCTAAAACAGGAAGTTTTGCATACCAAAACACTGCCATAGCATGGATAATGCTAATAAGCATCTGTGTTCATATTTTCTTCCACAGGAATAGGCCGAACCACACTAATAAAGCATCCACATCCAAACTTGAAAAAAAATGCATTTTAATGTTATTCAGTTGGCATTTTCCACACCTGAATATAGTCGTTTAACATCTGTTGTTTCACTACCTTAGAGACCATTCTTCTGTCAAACTAAGTCACCCACTTGCTGTTGCTTGAAGTGACATAATTTCTGAAGCTTTTCGTTTCAGAATAACATTTTTGACTGTTGAACTTGTCACTTTTGACATTGCCAAAATTTCATGAATAGATTTTCTACAATGTAAGTGATCAGGGTTACATTCATTGAACCAATATTAGTTAACAGGCTTACATTTGACATGGTAAAATAGAATTTTGATATTGGTGTAGTCATGAAGAAGGGGATTAATGTGTATTTGTCTCTTTCATGGTGTTGACAGGCATAGGATCAATACAGCATAGGAACTACACCAGCATGCGATGGATTGCATAATATACTCAAGGATTATCATTAGCTAAAGCATATAACCGTGAGGGAAAGAATTTTATTTAGTTATCATTTCCTGAAGGTACCAGCAAAAGTCAAATCTGTTTTTGAGTTGTCTGTACCTACATTCTCAACTACCAATCACTTCTCATTGAAACTTGCTGAGCTGACACTTTCCTCTTGAACATGAAGACTACCTTCATTTAAAGCCCTTTTAGCATCCACTCATCTTCACTTCATATCAATGGGTGTATTTGCTTCCTGGAAATGATGAGATATTTTTTATTACATAGTACCCAAGAAATTAGACTTTATACTCAAAAATAGGTTAATTTCTGTTGTGTTTTATAAAAGAAATCTTTAACAATATCATGCATTATAAAAAAATTATGTTTGAAGAACATGAGGCTTTTACCTGAAAAATAAATGTTGACTTTTGAAAAGAAAACTGTATATAAAAGATTACATTTACAGTTGCCTTAAATGTATACCAGTAGAATAATTAATATTCTTTTAGAAAAAATGCCATAGATTTTTTTATTAGTTATATTTGAAAAGATTTTTTAGTATGTATAATTAATTAAAAAAATAGCAGTAGCTTTTTTACTTCAAACAGATTATTAGATAAGTGATATTTTTAAGTTGATTACTGTAAAATTTTTTGTTGGTAAAATTTTAAATATCAGATATAATTATGCCTGTTTCCAAAGGCAGTTTGATACTGAGCCAGAATCCAAAAGCAGTTTGGTAATAAAAATTGCATATCAATATCAAATTTTTAGTAATAAAAGACAGTTTTTTTTAGTCCAAAGGGACTTTCTCCGTGAAGGACTATTGTTTTCATTTTATGATTTTGCGTCGATGCACTACAAATGGCGAATCACTTTTCAAACTGTTGCCACAAAGTATTATCGCTCTGTGTCATAGTTAAAGAAATTAAATAATGAAAAATCTGCATAAATGTATGTATATTTCTCGTATTGTTATAAAATAACAGTACATAGAGCCATCAAATTTTGAATGATGTAATCCTCCTATGAATATGGCCATGTAGAAGACCAAATTTGAAATTTGGAATTTGTTTTATTATCAATTGCCTATTTTGTAAAACTAACAAATTTTTGATTAACAAATTCAAGGATTTCAAAGCGAGCAATGGCAACGTTGTACAGAAAAAAATTTTTTATCTCCAGCGCATGAGTCTGTATCCGAAATTCTAAAGATATGCTCTTTTTAAAACTATTTTGGGATATTACTGTTGAACTGAATTTTATTGTTTAAGTGCAAAGAACATGATGATATTTAATAAATAAATGTAACACACAAAATGTTAGAAAAATGCCCCTTTGGACATAATTTAAAATCTCAAACATTTCAGATTTTTTCCCCCTGTTTAATAATCTACCAATGTGTAATAAAGTGGCTGATTTTTTTTTAAAGGTTTTTTGTAATACATTGACTGCTGACATGCCCAAGGGTAAATTCAGTGAGTGGACCATAGTAATTTCATTGGTTTGAAGCACTTATTTGTGCTGTCTGAACACACATTGCTATTTAAAAAAATATGTTCTCTTATGTTTCTTTTGGATGTAGATGAACCACCAGTAGGCCACCCACTCCAAATTTTGTGTTTTTTTATCAATTAGCCTCTCTAATTTTTGTATGCTATTTCATTTTAGTTTAATCCTTACTTGAGAGAACATCGAATATATAACCATGAGCAACAACATGACAGAGGAAGATAGTGAGAACTTTTTCGTAGATGACAGTGATGAAGATCTTGATTTTGAAGTTTCATCTAGTTTGTATAGAGCAATGGTGGTGAACCTTTTTGGGGCCACGTGCCCCAAACTTTATTTTGGGGGGCAGCATGCCCCAAACCTCTTTGATTAAATCCCCAGCGGAGTGTGGTTTACCGTGTTTTGCCAGGCACAGTGAAATTTGAAAGCTGGCCATTAGATGGTTTGTTGCAGAAAGATAATTGCAAAAACCAACTTTCTGGTAATTATAACTCTTCAATTTTCCTTCAATAAAGACCTTCCGTTCAGCTTCATCAAGTTTGGCAGCAATCTTGTGGTTGGTGTTATAGGCTTGACTTTATGCGATAAGTAAGTAACGTTCAAAAACAGACTAAAAATCTAAATTACAGAGTGTCATTTTATTGTGTTTATTGATTAAGGAAGTAATATTTTAGGCACGTGCCGGCTTATGAGGCTCTGCGTTCCATAGGTTCACCTTCACTGCTATAGAGACTCAGAATGTGATTCTGATACTTATTCTGGTTTCAGAAAATGCATTACTTCAAATAGTTGGGGAGCAGTTGGCAGAACAAGAAAAGTTTTTCCATTTCCTGCTGCTAATGTTGTTGTTGATCCTGTTTTAGCAGCTGAATATCTGGAAAGCCACCCATTTCTTATTTCAGACATTTTGTTTATGATGATAATATGTTACTTTTGATGCATGAAACTAATCGTTTCACAAATTAGATACTTTTGATCTTGATGTCCCATAAGAAAGTTATGTTTGAAACTAACAACTGTGAAATGAAAACATTTTTAGGTATTGAGTTGTGGATGGGAACTGTTTCCATGCCCATTTTTTCTGACTACTGGTGACCAAAATTCAAGAGTGAAATATGTAAAGTTATGAGTCATAACAGGTTTGAATTGCTTTTGTGGATAATTTACATATGTGACAATACCACCACCAACCAAACTAATCAACTATATAAGATCCAGCCACTTCCTAGATTGATTCAGATACATTGATCCAGCCACTTCCTAGATTGATTCAGATACATTTCAAGTATCCTATGTTCCTGAGAAAGAGATCTGCATTTTTGAAAGCATTGTGCCTTGGAGAGGACATCTTATATTTTGTCATTATATCCTAAATAAAAAGACATCAGTATGGAATAACAATTTTCAAGTTATGTGTTGCTGGTGGTTATACGCTGTCATTCAAAGTGTCTGCTGGGAAGAAAAAAATCTTTACTGATTCTGGTAATGAATCTAATCGAGCCATTACTTGATAGTGGAAGAACTCTGTATCTCGACAACTGATACACAAATGTATACAGTTATAAAAACGTCTTCTGTCGAGAAAGACTCATTTAGTTGGAATTCTTGAGAGCTAATAGAGATGGAAACCCTGAACAGGTGATGAAAGCAAAATTGAAAAAAGTAAGACCATAGCTGAAGAAGATGATGACAAAAATTGTGGTTATGAAATGGAAAGATAAGCATGATGTTTTGGTGCTAAGTACAAATATTGGAAACGAAACCATTGAAATTAACAAAAGAGGGAAGACTACTACATTACTGATTGTGTGAGTAACAACAAAGGGAACGCACTTACAGACATATTAGACCAAATGACTTCCTACTTTACATGCCTGTGTGAACTGTAAAATAGTAAAATTGACTAACATTTCACTTCCTAACAGCCATTGGTGTTGTGAATGCTTTTCATGCAGTAAATTGAAAAACAAATGGACATAAACAAATTTTATGAATCAGTTGCTGAAAGTCTTTAATTTTTTAGAACGAGCAAACAGTGTTTTGACTACGGACGGAAACGGAATGAATCACAAAACTTTTGGATGTTTCAACTGACCCAAAATCATCTACAAATGCTAGTGTGTTCAAGAAAAATGTAGTGCAAGCTTTCAAGAAGTCCATGCAAAAAGCACCTAACCAGAACACATTGCAATGGATATTGGAGAAGTCAAACAAGAATCAGCGGATTAGGCTGATTCTTGTGACTTCTTGCTGATTGTTTGGCTTCTCCCATAATCATTATTCGGCATGTTATTTTAACCTAAATTGCAGTGGTCACCCTACAAAACGTCACCAGAGTCAGAGAATGTGTAACTATTATTTTCAAAACAGGAATTTTTATTATTTGGTTTACATATATGATAAAGTATGTGCATATGCTAGACATTCATGTATAGACCTGATTCTGTGCATGTGCAAGATATTAGGATTTGAACACTAGTTTAGCAGCATTTGATAATCATAGGCAATTAACTAACTTTTTCTAATTTAATATTATTACTTACAAAATCA